AGACTGAAGAATAACGTATTTCGTTATGTACTAGTATAACGGTTTCCACACATGGTTTGCAGTATACTCGACAGAAGACAAGACGTCTACAGTACCATAGAGAATAAGGTGAAACACAGTACTGATAGTGCATGTACACCACGGAATGAAATTGTATCCAACTGCTCTGTTGAATTCCAATTAAGTGAGTTATACTACTGTTAACTGGTCGACGGTTATCGGAAGCCCTATAATAAATATTACGTAGATCAACGCAGAAGCTTCCATGGAAGTGAAATGTAATTGCAATGAAATAAACCGTAAAGAAGAGGTTTAATTATATATATATATATATATATATATATATATATATATATATATATATATATATATATATATATATATATATATATATATATATAATGCAACCACAAAAACAGGTATCAGTCGGAAAGTGAGTTACACAGACAGTGAAGGTTATAGTTATATGTGAAGTTAGTCACGCGTACGACACAAGACTATATGTGGACATGAATCCATGATTTCAAGTTATAGCAACAACAAAGGTGAAAACAGTACTCACCACAGATATTACACCACTGAGACAGACGGTACATTTCATCTTTACTCGAAGTGTCGAATACGACAGTACTGGCTTACTTATCACAACGAACCCCCTGACACTAAGAATTCACCATAAACTACATCAATCTTAATTAAATTCAATAAGTACATTAGTTACGATTCGTTGATAGGCAAACTGAAACTTGATACTATTGACTTCTGAAGTTCTAATGAGAAGTCGTGAATTGTGAGGCCAACCAGTCAGAAGTACAGTGAATGCCAACCGAAGACCTTGGCTGATAGTCTCACTATATCGCGAACTGACAGAAGTAGGAAACTGTGGATCTTTAGATCCCGGGCCAGCCGCTAGATGGTTGACGCGTTCACCACGAAACTTGAAGGTCATGAGTTCGATGTCTAGCCGGGTCATGAGTGTGTACTGCCGAGGAGTTCCATACCAGGACAAGACAGCTATCCAACGTCCCCAGACTTCCAATGGGTTCCCCAAATGATGTCAGTCCATGATGAGTACCAACCTTAGAACTGTTGACATCACCACTTATCTGGGCAAATCTATGGATGAAACACTAATTTCAAAGTGGAATTGTGCCTACTAATACAACAACAACAATGGAAAGGGAGGGAGATAACCACTATATCGGTAAAGCCCGTCAGCTAACTTTTGCAATAAGAAATAAATTTTAAGTTTCTGATTTCAGTTACTTAATGACCATTTACTCTAAGCGTTTCTTCTAGTGTTGCCTTGTTCTCTTAAAAAGTATATATATAGTCTGAGTATTTATGGCAAGTAGTATTGAATGGAGGCATTTGGGTGTTAAGATAAATTGAACACTTTAAGAGCAACAGCATTACTCACTCAATAGCTTTCTTTTTCAAGGGGGAAGAAAAATTCGACACCACATGACTTAACTGTCATTCACAAGAAGCCGGTAAATTTTATCTTTAGATTATTATTGATGAGACAACAATAGTAACTGATAATGATACTAGTTATAAAATAATGTAAGACTTACAATTTTTTCCGGTGGCCCATTTCGGTGTTTACACTCCTCTTCAGAAGTTTTCACAGGGCATATAAGCAGTTT